ATGTTGATTATTCTGATGATGAATGTGTGTGACTCAGTTTCCTGGTTTCAAACAGAAAGACGTTATTGAAACTGAACACTAACCTCAGGTCTGTTTCAGGAATGAAAACTCAGAGTTGGTTAAACCTGAGATGAAACTTTAACTCTGACTGTTACAAAAGACAAACACACAATAATGAAAGTGATGGATGTGTCTATCGTTAGTCGTGATAATGAAGAGGATCCGAATCATTGCGGATCATTTCGTTGCTGCAGACGGGAACAGATTTATTCCTCTGAATAAAAGTTTTTCCACCCTGAGGTTCAGACTCACAGTCAAGTGAACAGCACGATGCATCGCTACAGGACATGTTCAGGCGTCTCCCGCCATCATGGTGTCCTGTGGGATGTGAGACAGGAATGAAGATAAGGACAGCAGACCTGTCTGTCCTCCTGGTTATCACAGTTACACCTGCAGGACACAACCAGATGTTTGGGTTAAATCCTCCGAAACATGTCACACAGATAACAACACAACAAAGCTGCTGCTGCCTGACGTCAGTCTGGACCAGACCAGACTCTTGCAGCAGCGCCACCAACAGGCGGTTTGAATTCACACACCCTGTGACTGACATCATTAATAACAACACAGACAAGGGTGGAGTGCTGGGGCCCCTGACCTGAGAGAGGCCCCTGAGAACAGCCGATCATGTTTGTACTCTTTCTTTAGTCGGTTGTGTGTTTGTTTGTGTGATTAAATCTGTGTGTCCTCGTCTCTCCAGGTGTGTCACTGCAGTGGGAAGTCGTTGTGTCACTGTGACGGGGTCAAAGGTCAAAAGGTGAGCATGAAGGCCTGAAGTTGGTGTCGGTCGCGTCAGCGTTTCAGTCGTTATCTGTGAAACGGCGTGGTCGGGCTTCAGGTGCAGTTCAGCACCAGTGGAGTCTGAAGTGGTCTGAGGTGACTCAGGTGTGAGACCACCCGGCTGTGAACCCTGTGATCTCCAGTGTGTTCAGCAGAAGACTGGTTCCTCTCCGCTGAACGTGAAACATCTTTGTGTTCGCTCAGGGACCACGGCCAGGATCTCTCAACTCACCTGAACTCACCTGAGCTTACGTGACTATACTGCCTCCCTGTGGACGGCAGGTGAACTGACACAGGATCTGTGTCTTTGTGTTTTCCAGGGTGAAGCTGGTAACCTTGGAGAACTTGGACTTCCTGGAATGATTGGTTACCCTGGAAACGAGGGTCACCAGGGGTCATCAGGAGAGAAGGTAAAAGTTGTCTTCAGTCATTATATTCTACTTATATATCAGACTTAATATATGATGATGTGATTCGTCCTCAGGGTGAGCTGGGAGCAGCAGGAAGTCCAGGACTGAAAGGCTCACGGGTAGGACTGATTACGATCAGTGACCGTGTACAAAGATGAAACTATATATATACACATAGTAAATATATATATAACTATATATATATTTATAATAAAGGATCCAGAATCAGTCAGTCACCTTATTTCTCTCTGTGTCTTCAGGGTCTTCCAGGGAAACCAGGTTTTCCAGGACCTCCTGGGCTGCCGGTAAAAAACACAGTACAACGTTCACAACACATTCGTAATACACAGTGTATACATCCCCGAGTACATTTAAAGGCTTTTACATCAAATATTTGAAATAGATTGAAAACAGACATTTATACAATTTTACTATTCAGAGAACCTGAGACATGAAATCTGCTGTGATCAGGTGTTAAATTATCTCACATGTAACTTCATCTCTGGGGATGAGACCCAAAATCTTATTCTCTTCAAACCACTTTCTATGTTTAACTTCTTATAAAATATCAGTGGAACAGAATTGAAGGTTTAAATTTTAATTGTATGAAATATTGTCTCAATAAAATAAAGTTACAAATAAAATGCTTTGGACACTTTGTTACTAATCCTCGTTTCACAGGGACTTCCTGGACATGACGGATCAATTGGCCAACCAGGTTTCCCAGGATGCAATGGGACAAAGGTAGAGATTGTTACACTGCTGCGCATCAGAGCACTTGAAGAAACTTTTACTGGAACCAAATGTTTTCTGCTAATTTGAAGTTTTATTCAAAATATGATGAATTGATCAATTAAAATCAACGACGAACATGTTTGAGTGGTATTTATCCTGCCTCTGTAAAAATACCTGTATTATTTATCATTTCGATTTTTGTGAAACAATATGTTTACTTAGACGATCAGGCAGGAAATCTGGCTCCAGGTTACGTCTCATTATTATTATTATCTCTTTAGTCTTTTTTATCTACACTACTATTCTTTACTGTCGTGGAGGTGAGCAGGAAGATGCACTTCACGTCATCTGTATAAAACAACATGTTACCTCTGCTACTGATGTCGCAGAACGTGGGGACGATATAACTGAAGTTCTCTTTATTCTAACCTGCGTTCTGACGGCTGGTTCTGTTTGGATCAAAAAAATCCTTTATTGAATCTTTTGCTCTGATTTTCTTCGATTGTGTTCTGGAGCTTTTACTGACTCTGTAGAAAAGATTTGTTGAAATGAATTTACCTGGAGACGTAAACAGATCTGACTCCGATCCGACCCGTGTTCACTTCAACCAAGTCAAACAAACAACAAGTGGGTTATTTACAGAGAACGCAGGACAAACGTTAGAATACTGATCTACCCTCCATCAAGTTAGAACTAGTGTTATTTATGGTAAGTGTCACGAGTTGATTGATTGACAGATGTATTGATTGATTGACAGATGTATTGATTGATGTCTTCCAGGGGGACGTTGGGTACAGAGGACTCCCTGGAGTTCCAGGAGCTGTTGGCTTTCAAGTAAGTCTGACTTTCTGATTAGATACGTGAAGAAATCCTGTTTATATATCAGTCAAAACAAGCTGAGGCTAAGTTTGGCTAATTTGCTCTGAGAAGCTAAAGCTAACTGCGTCAATGTGTTGCAGGGTCGACCAGGACAGCGAGGCACAAAGGTCAGAGAACACAGCTGAGCACACGCGAAGCTCCACTTCTTCACAAATGTTTTTGAGCTTTTATGTTTTGGCTTCATTTTGTGTAGAAAAGGTTCAGTGTGTAGAATTTAGTGACATCTAGTGTTGAAGTGTCATGTTGCAGCTGAACACCCCTCCCCTCCCCCTCTCCATCAGAACATGAAGAAGAACCTGTGGCAGCTTCAGTCGTCATAAAAACTCAAAAGGTTTTAGTTTGTTCAGTCTGGACTAATGTAAAAAACATGGCGGCCTCTGTAGAGAGGGTCCCCTCCATGTAAATATAAAGTATTTCAATATAAAGTATTTCAATATAAAGTATTTAGTATTTCAATATAAAGTATTTCAAAACATCCTGAGGATTATTCTACCTCAGATTAGTTCCTTTCACCTGAATCTTACACACTGGACCTTTAATGAGACATTTCTGAAAATATTTCAAGGTTTAATTTGTGTCATCAGACAACGTCACTCCGTTTTGAATTCCTTCATTGTGTTGGAGATGATTAAGAGACGAGATGTTGCTGATTGTCTCTGTTTTCTTCTGATCTCAGGGCGACTCGTTCGTCCACCCCGTCCATCAAGATATTAAGGGAACAATGGGTCAACAAGGACCAAAGGGTGAAAAGGTCAGTTGCTGTCCAAAGTTTTCTTTTTCCAGACGAGACAAATTGTCTCCGTACGGACAGAAGGAGAGAGAAATTCTTTCAACAGGTTTCGGAATATTGCTGACAGCACAAATTGATGGATTTGTAACTACGACGATGGACACAGCTGTTAAAAACATTTAAACCTTAAAACCTTATCTCTGATTGGCTGCTTGTGTTTCAGGGGCTTCGGGGAAATCTTGGTCAACTTGGACTTCCAGGACCACCAGGACCTGCTGGACGTCCTGTACGCTTCAAATCTGAAACTGTCAACTTTATTTAAAGCATCAGAAATTCCTTAAAATGACATCAGCTGTTACTTTTTCTTTTTTTAGGGCATTCCAGGGTTGCCTGGGTTACTAGGAGAAAAGGTCAGTGTGCTCAGAGGCTGAACCGATCTGAGAGCAGTTTTGTTAGAGCTTGAAGACGCTGTGTTTGTGTTTCAGGGTCAGGAGGGTCCTAGTCCAGTGATCCCAGGTTCCCAAGGACAAAAGGTGAGTAAACTTCCACATAATGACGGCTCCCAGAACCGCTGGATGCCCCCTGGTGGCTGGCAGCAGTAACGGTCATACATAATAACTTTCTTCTTCTTTTTAGTTGGGTTTCTTAACTGACGTCGAGGTGCATTACCACCGCCCACTGTGTTTCAATCCTAGTGGTATCCTAACAGTCTGGTGGTCGGTGGCAACCTACTGTTTGATAAGCAAAACTTTATTAATGTAACATTCTTCAAAATAACCATCAGGAAGTGAACAAGAGGACAATTAAAAACAATGACACAAAACATCCAAAGCAACACGCACCAATGGTATAATACAGGTTTGCAGATCCAGCAGATGGCAGTAATGCACCTTGACCTTGTTTGCCAATAAACCGAACAAAGAAGAAGATATAACACAGCATCATAAACACCTCCTCCTCCAAGTTAGCAGATGGGACATGGACCAAACTACAAAGTAGACGTTAAACAAATGTTTGAGAGAGGAGGAGGAAGAAAAAGAAAAAGAATAGGAAGAAACAGTAGATGGCAGTAATGAGGTTGGTTGCCACCCACCAATCAACCAAACAAAGAAGAAGTGTTTCTGATCAGTTTGTTTAATTAGTTACTTGATGATTTATAAACGGGCTGAGACGTCATGATTGACAGCTGACACTGACTCAGATAGTGAAAGGAAGTGGAAACGTGTCGTCCATCTTTATTTAGTCTTTGGTCCAGATTGGAACACAATCTCATCATCATCTGCTGTGTTTGGTTTTCAGGGTGATCGTGGACCTCCTGGGATTCCTGGACAGAAAGGAATCAAACTGTACGCTGAGGGACCCAAAGAGCTGAAGGTCTGTCTTTATATGTCTGTCTGTCTGTCCTCATGTCTGTCTGTCCTCATGTCTGTCTGTCTGATAGCTGTCTGTATTTATATTTCAGGGAGAACCAGGTGAAGTCGGAGAGAAAGGCTGTTGTGGACTTTATGTGAGTCGACTCTGACTGAACCAACAACATTAGCATGATGTTTTACAGTCTACAGATAGCATGACTGATGTGTGCGTTTTCTTTTGTCCTTCAGGGTGAACCTGGGAAAGAAGGGGTGAAGGGAGAGAAGGGTGAGCAAGGTGACCCAGGCTCACTGGTGAGAGAAACATTCATCTATAATTAAAATTGATTTGATCTTATTTCTTCAGCCCACAGTAAATGTGCCAGTGAGTAGGTGGTCAAACGTGTGGCTGTTTGCTTTTCAGGGTAAACCGGGAAAAGATGGACTCTTCGGAAAACTCGGAGATCCGGTAACTAATGCTATGCTAATGCTAGTTTAGCATTCCAGACTGCAGTTGATTGTGCAGAGACTGACTTCACCTGTTTATGTCTGCAGGGAGACTCGGGGGATCCAGGGTTCTTCGGTCCTCCAGGTATTAAAGGAGCCAAGGTGAGAACTGAATAAAGCACATGAAGAACAAATGTGTCCGATTTTAACCTGGACTTCATTCAAGAAAATGTTGCTGTGTCAATTCAAAGTGTCCTTTTCTACTGTGGTGATTTTAGGGGGAGACAGGTGATCGTGGACTTCCAGGTCTTCCAGGAGAGGTGAGTCTGCAGGAACTGATTTTTCTTGTTTCAACAGAAGAAAAGTGAATCATGAAGCTGCAGATTTAATCTGACCAGTGACAACAGGACATCTGGTTCATTTCCAGCTGCGACATGTTTTAGCAGAGTGTCTGTCCTCAGATTCAACTTCTGCTGTTGTGTTTTTATCAGATGGTTTGGAATCACATATTCCTGAAGGGTCAGCCTGGTGTCTCAGGGACCCAAGGACCCCCTGGAGCCCCTGGAGAAAGAGGTATCACAGAGTCAATTATGAAAAGTTAAAACAAGTTCACATCATTTAAAATCATCTTTTAATTTCATTTTCACACTTGGTATCAACAGCTGTCTCAGGTGACGTCGTCACAGACATGAAAACAGACGAATGGAAGCAGTTTTAGTAGAAGCATTTACTGAAGTATTAGTAGTTCATGTATTCTCTCTAGTGACCAGCAGGGGGCGACTCCTCTGGTGGTTTCTATAGAAGTTTATAGAAAACATCTCCTCTTCTCACTTTAAAACGTCAGTAAACTTTGTCCTCAGGAGTTCATGTGTCTAGTTTCAAGTCTTCTTCAAACAGCTGAGGTTCATTTATCAATTAAGATCATCAAATCATTGTTTGATTGACAGCAAGAAAAATGTCAAACTGAGGATCACAGTGTCACAGTGACGGTTGATACTTGGGGAGAAAACACCCACAATGCACTGAGATCCAATCAGTCAGAACACTGTGTAACGTCGTCTTGGTGACGACTCCTCTGTTTCTTCTTCTTCCTCTTCTCTGCATTTGTTTTAGGAATCATTGGTTTTCCTGGACTGAAGGGGAAGTCAGGTACACACCTCCTCCTCCTCCTCCTCCTCCCACTTTGTTACGTTACTGATCAGATTAAAATCAATATTATTAATCGTCAGAATTCATCATAGTTCCATTATAAGTGAGTCAATGCAAACATAAGGATAAGAATGTTTTTAGTGTAATTAGTATAATATTACTTCAAATTAAGTCACTTCTTCTTTTAAGGTGTGGCTCCTACTGGGCCTCTGGGCCCCCAGGGGCCACCTGGTTTGACTGGACCAAAAGGAGAACCAGGAGAGCCGGGACCCCTCTTCATTGGGCCCCCAGGAGAGACTGGAGTCCCAGGAGTCCCAGGAGCTGAAGGAGAACCAGGAGAACCAGGAAAACCAGGTGAAATAAAAAAATTTACCAAAAGATTAGAAGAAAAATTCAGATGAATAGAATCTGTCGTAGACAAACTCCTGACGGACGTGACCGACAGGTTGTCCTCTGTCTTTCAGATTTCCTGCCGGGAGACGTCGGTCCTCCAGGAGCTAGAGGCGTGAAAGGCCTAGTGGGACTTCCTGGGACCAGAGGGGAGGAGGGACAGATGGGTGAGACATGAAATAATGTGTACTGGTCCACTGACATCTGCTACTTTCACAGTGAAAATGTCAGATTTCTCATTGAAGCTTTGTATGATTGATTGATTGATTGGTTGATTGACTGATTAATTGATTGACAGGTGAGAAGGGAGAGACATGCTCCGTCTGTCCTGTTGCTTTCGGATCCCCCGGGCCCCCAGGTAGACCAGGAGAGCCAGGTGAACCTGGGGTGACAGGTAGGAACATGTTTTCTCACATTATCTGAACGATTGATGATGTGATTGACACAGTGACCCCCGATCACAGGTGAAGGTGGGGGGTAATTTACCTCAAGTTTAAATAAAACGATCTTACGACAGTCGTCGATTTAATACATTTGTCCCCTTCTCACAGACAGACAACGGTCAAACTTCACAATTCAGTACAACACGTTTTCAATAATCACTTACCGACATGTACAGCTTTAAACAGACATCTTTACGCGGCATTTTAACATTGACACACATGAAGTTACGAACTGTTTCTTCTAATGTAGTGAATCTGTTGTTGTGTTGATGTCTTCAGTTCATCAGCATCTATTGTCCTCGTGTCCTGGAGACGGATCCTCACATGTGACTCTGAGCTTCAGTTACTGCTCAGAAAGTGTCTCTGTAGTTTGACTCTAGTTGAGTTGAGGACAGAGGACGTTGCTGCTTGTTGACATCGATGAGACAAACTGGATATGAGACAAACTGAACATGAGACAAACTGGATATGAGACAAACTGAACATGAGACAAACTGAACATGAGACAAACTGAATATGAGACAAACTGAACATGAGACAAACTGAAYATGAGACAAAGTGAACATGAGACAAACTGAATATGAGACAAASTGAATATGAGACAAACTGAACATGAGACATGAGACAAAGTGAATATGAGACAAACTGAACATGAGACATGAGACAAACTGACTGATCGAGAATCTGATGAGCAGGTAGAATTCACGTCTGATGTCTAAATGTTTCCAGGTGTGAATGGTTTTCCAGGACCTGAAGGTGACAAAGGGGTCAAAGGAGTTCGAGGACCACCTGGTCCACAGGTGAGTTCAGAATCCAGCCCTGAATATAATATAATATAATTTGATACAGAGTTATCTTAGCAACAGTTAGCAGCTGACAGTGATCACATGACTCTTACTTCTGTCCCCAGGGACCCTTTGGTTTTCCCGGCTTCCCGGGGTCCCCAGGACCTGTTGGTGAGCCAGGGATCATGCACAGGGTGGGGGAGAATGGGGAGGAAGGGGCCCCTGGGGGCTCAGGACCATCAGGTCTTGAGGGGACATATGGAACTGACGGAGTCCCTGGACCGAAAGGTGTTGTGGGACAGAAAGGAAACCCTGTGAGTATCAGTTCAGACCAGATGAGAGAGGGGGGGTTGGAGGTGGTCAAACCGAGTCTGTGACATGCCACCAGGTCAAAGACGGAAATCTGTGGTTCTATGTGTCTGCCCTCAAGGGGCCTCTGGGTCAGAAAGGTGACAGGGGCCCACTCGGGGAGACCGGCTCCAGAGGAATTATAGGGCAGAGAGGACCTCCAGGACCTCCTGGTATCGGCATTCCAGGACCTCCAGGACCTAAAGGCCATGTGGGAGTTTTGGGACAGCGAGGGATTCCTGGAAGACAAGGTGAGTCTGTCCAGGTGAGAGTTTCCAGGGCAGGCGTGGAGTCAGACCCTGAACTAAGGACCTGTCTCTCTCTCTGTCCGTCCATCTGTTTCAGGTGAAAAAGGTTCTCCAGGTGAAACCAAGACTTCTCCAGGTGATCCAGGAAAGAAAGGAGAGAAAGGGTTATCAGGAAATCCAGGACCTGAAGGTGAGACAGGTTCACCTGCTTGATCGGGTTTTAAACTCAAAACCAAAAAATCTGTATAAATTGACTTGTGTAAGTCACTGGTCACAGAAACCATCTAAATGCTCAGGGCCCCAGAGCTGGGCCCCAGCAGTCCGTCTGCTTTACTCTTTATTTAAAATATGCAAAAGTCAAACTGCTTCATTCACAGTTTTGTTCATGTTCATCTGCTGCTCACAGGTGTGACGGGACCTCCAGGTGATCCTGGATCTGCTGGTCCAAAGGGAGAAAAAGGAGAGAAAGGGTTTTCTGTGCAGGGGCCCCCAGGGTTCCCAGGAGTGAAAGGTCAGTGTAGGAACAGTGCTGAAGATACCAGTCAGATGATGATGATAAATAACAGTAATGCATATTTATGTTTTTCCTTTCCTGACCGCAGGCGTGAAGGGCCCTCCAGGTGCCCCAGGTTTATCGAGTTTTGGAATCAAGGGACGAGCGGGGCCATCTGGTCCACCTGGGATGCCAGGGCCAAAGGTAGTGTGGACCAAACCTAAACCATATAGATGGTTTCAGGTTATTGTCTGAGCAGAGAGCAGCGTTTGTATATTATAGCATCATTTTTAAGAGGAAGTGGAGATGAGTCTTCAGACTTTATTTACAGTCTCTGACCAACAAATATAGCATATTGCTATTATCAAATTAGTGTCCCTTGACCTTGAGGTGTAAATGGGCTGAATGAAGAATGCTACCTTAACTTAAGTATGTTGCATTATGGGTTATTTGTAGCGTTATTAAGTTGGTTCTGCTGGCGAGTGTTGATCAGTGTTTGTTTACTGTCACAGAGGAAACAAGTTCTCAGCGTCTTTTGATGTCTTTACGTCTTCAGACAAACACCCCGTCTGTCGGACCTGTGTAGCTGTTGGATGTAAACAGAAGTGATGTTGAACTGTCTGTTTTTGTGGTCACAGGGGGACAGAGCTATCGGTTTCCCAGGACAGCAGGGTCAGCCAGGCCCTCAGGGAGAAGATGGCTCCGTGGGTTCCCAAGGAGAACCCGGACTCCAAGGAGTCGATGGAGTTCCAGGACCTCCGGGACAAGATGGACTACCAGGGCCCAATGGTAGCTCATTTTAAGTTATGATGAAACAATACTGGCGATCCATTCATAACATGCAAGAAATTAATCCATGAGTACTGACAATAACACTTTCACCTCTGTCAACATTTCCTTCTTAAACTAACTGAACTGAAGTGAACTTAATTGGAGTCTCCTTCAGGTTGTAGTGGTCTGAATGGTGTACCTGGTCCTGTTGGCTTTGTTGGACTATGTTTAGAGGGGGCTCCTGGACCTGAGGGACAGGAAGGACAGATGGGTGTCATTGGATTTACAGGTAGCGACTGTGCAATATATTACTTTTCACTCAGGAACTTGCCCATGACGTTTATTTGGAAAATTTGGAGAAACAAGAACTCACTTGTCTCTCAGTCTAACAGATATTCTGCTTTCCAGGGGCCCGAGGCACAAAAGGGGTACAGGGTGACCCTGGGCTGCCAGGTGTGGGATCCCTGGGGCCTCAGGGGGAATACGGGACTCCAGGGTTTGATGGACCTCAAGGGCCAGTCGGAGGTATCGGACTGAAGGGCCTGAGAGGGACCAACGGGGAGCCAGGAGGCCCAGGTGAGGATGCAGATATCAGTCAAAAATTTTCACTGAGGAAATTTTGGAATAATGTTGACAGTCAAATAAAGTAAACCTCAGATGCTGAATAGTGAATTCCCCAAACGGTCAACTGCTCGTCACTCAAGAGAACAGCTAGCTGTGATAATGCTAATGCTGATTCTAAATGGGCAGGGACGACAGAATGTGTGAGGAAAGATGTCAACAGCTGCAGACATGTCCTCACAAGTACTGGATCAACAACCTACAGTATATGTGTGTTTTAGGTATCAGAGGGGACATGGGTCCTCCAGGACTTCTTGGGCCTCCAGGGGATGATGGGAAACCAGGAGAGACGGGGCGACCAGGACCAAAAGGTTTAATCAATCAATCAGTCAATCAACCAATTAATCAATCAGTCAATCAGTCAGTTGTGTCTCACTTTAACTGTCTCTCTGTGTCTCAGGTCAGATGGGATTAGATGGGGTCAGGGGTTCTCAGGGGCCTCAAGGGCCTCAAGGGGACAGAGGGGAGACCGGACCTAAAGGACTCCAAACTTCTGTTGAGACACATGGAGACCTGGGAGATGCTGGAGAACCAGGTTCTGTTTTCTTTGTGAATGTAAAAATGGCATCACTCCTGTCACTGCGTTAAACAAACATCAATCTCTGTGATCCCCGTGTTTATTTGAGTTCATATAACTTTAATTTAAGTTTGTTTGTTACATATAAAAAGCTTCACTTCGCAGTGAATTAGCTTAGCTTTGCATGAAGGACCGGGAACATGTGGAAACAGCTACCCCGGGGGGCTGTCATATCACTGACTGTATACAAAGACCATCACTGACTGTATATCAATATATTCTATATACATTGTATATGTAATCCGGAGGTTGGCTGACGACATCCCTTTACAAGTCAATCTCAAATCCTCTCCAGTTTGAGTCCACCTGTCTGTGACCTGTCTGTCTAATTACTGTCTGACATGCAGGGCCCATAGGTTTCACTGGTACTAAAGGAGAGAGGGGCCTCCCTGGACCTCAGGGCCCGGACGGCAGCAATGGTGCACCTGGAGACATTGGACCACAAGGTGCATGCAACTGAGTGAATAAAGAACCCATGTTTTTTATGATTTAGCCCTAAAATGGACCAAACCTATTCAAATGATTGTTTCTGTGTGTCAGGACTTCCTGGAGACCCTGGCAGAGATGGACAGATGGTTCCTCCTGGTCCCAGTGGTCTCCCTGGTAACCCAGGGGAGATGGGGAGGCCAGGTAACCTTGTCATCCCTACCCATGACTCACTATATATTAAAAAGGCAAATATCAGAGAACTTTACTGTCTTATCAGGTTTCTGCTCCTCTGTGATCTTCTGATTTGCTTTCTGCAGGTTTTAAAGGTGAGAAAGGTTCTACAGGCCCTTGTGGAGAACCTGGCTCAGATGGAAAACCAGGATCAGGAGGTCCTGAAGGTGCTAAAGGAGAACCAAGTCCACCTGGACCTGGATCTAAAGGATGTCCAGGAGAGAAGGTATCACACATACAGCAAGAGCGCAACATACATTTGTTATTTTCCTTTTCTTTAATTCAGCCCAGTGTCCTCTTCTTTCTTCTTCTTGTTCTTTCACCTTTTTCCATTTCTCAGGAACTTATGCTGTTTAAAACCAAATGCAGTTTCTTAAATAAATAACCTTGAAATGGAGAGTTTTTTATTTCCATTTTACATAAATACGTATTTATGACCTGGATGTCTTTAGTTTTGTATTTGAGGATAGATGAGTTTGAGCATCTTTCTGACTCTGTGCGCCTGACAGGGGATTCCAGGGTGTCCAGGACTTTTAGGTACAAAGGGGACACCAGGAGACTCTGGGAACTCTGGTCTTCCAGGAGTATGTGGCCCCTGTGGCCCTAAAGGAGACTCTGGGCCCCCAGGATGCAGAGGTATGATTCTTTACTGTTTTCCATTTATCTACAGCTTAAACAGTCTGTGGTCTACCTCTGTTCTGTATGTGCATTTTGTATGAAATAAAAAGGTTCATATAGTGATTTTAGCATCAATTCAAGAGATGGACGTTTATTTAACTCATCCAACCAACCATCCATCCATCCATCCATCTTCCATCCACCCACATGTCCTTCCATCCATCCACCCATCCAACCTAATCCCTCCTCAACTGTCTCCTTTCGATGTGAAGGAGTAGCAGCTCGACAATGACCTCTTCACCTATGTAACATGAAGAGACTAGAACCTTCCTCACATTAACACATGACACGTTCACATCACATTTTCTTTATTGTCTAGAAATTTACTCAAAAATTGTTGTAACTTTGGCTGGAAACTTGGATAAAATTCAAATCTATGTTAAGCTGTCTGTCTGTCTCTCTGTCTCAGGTCCTCCTGGATCTCTTGGTGAGAAGGGTAATGATGGTTCTTCAGGGACAACTGGACCTCCAGGACCCAGCGGTCTCCCAGGTATATAAACCAGTGATACACAGTTGTTATTGTCATCAGGTGGCAGTAGTGCTCGTCCTCTGCATCTTCTACTGAGGTGATAGGAATAAGCAGATTTGACATCTTTTTTTGACATCTTAGGTAACAAGGGGGCTCCTGGAGATCCTGGTCCAGCTGGTCCCAGAGGAAACCAGGGACAAGATGGGATACCTGGGCCTCCAGGAGAGAAAGGAGCCATGGGAGGTAGGTGGCCGGACTGGATTAAACTGGATCTGGTTTGAAAAGTCAGAAAGTTTACATGGACAAATTAAGTCAACTGCAGAGGATTGTTGTGAACAGTTTAGCCTTGACCAGTTTTTATTTCCCCAGCTCCTGGATTTGGACCCCGTGGCCCAGAAGGAGAGAAAGGTCCACCTGGTGAGTCCCCACCTCCGATCATGAGTTAAGTTTTCAATAGAGCTAAAGAAGAAGAAATATCGTACACACTCCACATGCTCTCGTCTTCTCAGGCTCTTATGGTGAGAAGGGCCTTCCAGGTCCGTGTGGCCCTCCTGGTTCCAGTGGTCCTGGGGGAAATCCAGGTTGCCCTGGTCCCCCTGGACTCCCTGGTCCTCCTGGCTATCCTGGACAGGAGGGTATCTGCACTGCAGGACTAAAAGGAGAAGAGGGAGTCTCTGGAGCACAAGGGCCAAATGGTAAAGAGGCACATTGAGTCCTTTCAGAGGGAGCTCAAGACTGTTAATCCTGATTTTCCCATTAGCACTTGAAGAAAAGGTTTAAATCACTTGTGACTGTTTGAGGAAGCTTCCGATGAATCCCAGCAGCGATGCAAATGCTGTAGTTTTCTGGACATCATGTCTCTAAAAGTCTCTGTATTTGTAGGTCCTCCCGGCTGTCAGGGTCCTCCAGGTCCTCCAGGTCCTGGTAATAAAGGAGAGAAGGGAGCTAAAGGAGCAACAGGTGACCCAGGATTACCTGGTTATCCTGGCGACCCTGGTCCAAGAGGAAAGCCGGTCAGTCTATCCCATAGTTAAATAGATAGAGATTCAATTTATCATCCAGTAAATCTCAAATTCAAAAGAGAGAGTAGGAGCTGAACTGAGTCAAATCTTTGGATTAAATAAGCAGCAACAGAATATTTGATCATAAATCGTTGTGAATTAAATTTGATCAGAAAGATTCAGTTGATCTATTTAGTGACTAGTTTTAATATTGATGGGTTCATCTATGATAAATTCATTTTATGATGCTTTTTAACACCAACATCGTTTGACCTTTGTATGCGGATGACCTTCTGCTGTATATTGTTATTTCCCCTCAGTCTATTCTGAGCAGCCACAGTTCTCTTATATGATCAATATGCAATATAAATAAATGCATGTTTTGGTGCATGTTTCCCTTTCGCTAATTCTTCAGAGTCGTCTCTGTTGGATTAAATCCTCAGTCAATATGTTTGTCATTGACAGGGTGAAGACGGACCCCTGGGTTTACCTGGACAGAAAGGCGAGACCGGAGAAACTGGTATCAAAGGACCTGTGGGTAAGAAGACCAGTCAGGTGACCAGTGTTCATGGTGACAGAGAAGCCAATACAAATAGACAAATACAAATCTGGTGTTGTTGTTGCCACGTTATTCTGTGTGACGCTGAAGTGAAGCTTCCTGTTTTACTGTAACATCGTATGACAGAGCTTCCTCTGGGCTCCCTGTGTGTTTCAGGTTTAAAGGGAGATGAGGGACCACAAGGTAACGCTGGCTCAAAAGGACCCCCAGGACCACCTGGGAGGAGAGGTATCACAGTGACATCACACAGCCAACTGTCCAATAACAGCAGCCACATGCTTGAGGGCTGACACAGACATTTACAGTGTACTGCTCGCTACTGAATTCTGCCCCCTGCAGGAACAAGGGGGAAGGATGCATCCAGGGAGGTGAACCTGATTCTAGGAGACGAAGGCTCTACTGGGGATCAGGGCCCCCCGGGGCAAAACGGACCCCCAGGAGCCCGTGGGAGACATGGAATCCCAGGTGAGTCTGGAATAATATTTTTGGCTTCAGGTGTGAGAGATGCAGATGCAGTTTTACATACAAACAGTGGGATTGTTTTAAAGCTGGGTTTCGTGGCTGCAGGTGTGAAGGGTACTAAAGGGAAGGAGGGTAACCAAGGATCGCGAGGTCGTCCTGGACTGAAAGGGGATCAGGGAGGCCGAGGATTCCCTGGACTAAAAGGTACCAAATCTGATTATCTGAAGGCAAGTCAAGACAAGGTTCACATCATAAGACAGGTTGTTGAACCCTCTAGACTCTGATGACTTTGAGACATTCTGTAGTTTGTTGTCCTCGATCTAAACCAGCAGTTGATTCCAGATCTGACTCTATGACAACAGGTATTGCAGGTCCACGAGGTCCAGTCGGTGCTAAAGGTAGTCCAGGTCCGCTGGGTCCCTGTGGGGAGGCGCCAGAGAGGGACGGCTTCCTGTTCACCAGACACAGCCAAAACCTTTTCGTCCCATCATGCCCTGCAGGGTCCAGTGAGGTGTACAGTGGATACTCGCTGCTGTTCATCAATGGAAACAACCGGGCTCACGGACAAGACCTGGGTAACATGACTTTTCATTACGTCTTCAGGATCTGCCATCGTTGGTAACAAACCCTGGGCCACATTTACCGTTCTTAAAGGGAAAGTTTCCAGTTACTTAAGTTGTGTTGGATTCTGCTCTAACGCTGTTCCCCCTGAAACTCCAGACGTGTTTGTGGACCATAAACACGTCTGGAGGGGATTTTCATTTCTGGGTGAACTGTCCCTTTTAAGAAGAAATCTTTTCTTAAAAGCCAGTTACGCAGTTTTCTTTATTTGTTCTTATATAAAAACAGAATCTTCACTGAATCTTTCTCTGACAACTCAAATACTTGTTGTCTTAAAAACTGTCAGTGCAAATTACATTTTTATAAACATGAATATGTTGAACAGGAGAATATTTAGTCATAAAATCGGTCGCTCAGTTTACGTATAGTCGAGGGTCCATCACATTTAAAAAACTTAAATGAAAGTCTCTCTCTCTGTCTCTCTGACTCTCTCTCTCTGCCCACCCCCCTCTCTCCCTGCAGGTACGTTAGGCAGTTGTCTCCCTCTCTTCACCACCATGCCCTTCTTGTTCTGTAACACTGACAGCACCTGTCGCTACGCCTCACGCAACGACTACTCCTATTGGCTCTCCACTAATGAAACTCTGCCAGGAAGTGTCCCATTTATATCTGGGCAACTTCTGGAAAGTTACATCAGCCGGTAAAACACACTCACACACAAAGGTGTACTGTACTGTATGTGTCATGTGTATCACGTGTACTGTATGTGTCATGTGTATCACGTGTACTGTAAGTGTCATGTGTATCACGTGTACTGTATGTGTCATGTGTATCACGTGTACTGTAAGTGTCATGTGTATCACGTGTACTGTATGTGTCATGTGTTACAGGTGTACTGTATGTGAGGCCCAAGCTAACGTGATCGCCATCCACAGTCAGACCACTTTGGTTCCGGACTGTCCCTCTGGGTGGGATCATCTCTGGTTTGGATTCTCCTTCGTGATGGTGAGATTCAAATTTCATTGTTCATTCATTCCTTCGTTGTGAGTTGCTGCTTTGACCTTTGACCTTCCTGCTGTTGGTCTCCAGGAAACAGGTGTGGGGGCGGAGGGGTCGGGTCAGCCTCTGGCTTCGCCTGGATCCTGTCTGGAAAACTTCAGGAAGATTCCCTTCATCGAGTGTCACGGCAGAGGAACCTGCAACTACTACACAGACTCCTACAGCTACTGGCTGGCTGCTCTCAACCCCAGAGACATGTTCAGGTACGATACACCTTTAGTCACGTGTTCAGGTACGATACAC